CCTTGTTGAACCTCATGAGGGACACCTGGGCCCTGACTATGTCTAAATACATTCAAATAACAGACTATTTCAGTTTTCTGTAATTTTTTGCAATAATTCAAATGAGGAATATGAACTGACAGTATTCATTGTTCTCATGGTATGGGACCAAATAGCATGTCTGGTAAGAGTGGAAGGCAAAAGGATTTAGGTTCTCTTTCCTGTTGGTTTGTCCAGAGGAAAGTAGTACATTGTTCCATGCAATGAATAAAGCAATTCCCTTCAGCTGGGTAACTGTCAAATGCCTGTACTATTTTGCTCTCACTTGCTGTTACTGGCTCAGTTAGGGTGCTGATGACATGAGCTGTACTTCACCTGGTTAGAACACTTCCATATTCACTGCTCATGTTGTTGGGAGGACTTTGATATTGGAAGACTCTGGAGTGCAGATTTACATATGGTTCCATAGGCCTGGGAGTAACTGCCCATTGATGCTTTTGGATCACCAGCAGCTCCCGTATTTGCAGTAACCTGGAACATCTTTTTACTGGACTTCAGGAGGGGATGAATACCTTTGCTGGGAAACTGAGTATTTCTTGGATTCTGTGCGAGAAAGAAAAGCCAAGATAGTTAGTAACCTGTAATCAACTTTCTAAAATACAAATAAGGAACACAGATTATGCTTCAGCTGAGGAATAAGACAGATCATGAATGTTATATGAGTGCTAAACCAGACTGGTTTGTAAGATCAAGAATAGGATGGTGAGAATGTGAGGGAGAAGGGCTTAAGAATGGGTATATCAAGAGTGAGCTAGTGGCACTGGAGCAAGATAGGACAAACTAATCCTGCATTGGAGCAAAAGTCCAAAGGCGTGTTTGGCTACTATCTTGTTTTCAACAGTAGTGAATGCTTTAAAGATATATACAAAAGACAGATCATCATCATCATTCCCCAGTATATCCTCCTGGCTTCTGGCAATCAAAGTGGCCTGGTGACTTTCTGAGTTGGAAGTTGCATTAGATACCGTGTTTATCAGCCCCTGTCAGGAGAAGTTAGTATCTTAAGACACTACACTACATAATACATTACAATACATTTGAATCTGCAGTTAAAGAGGAGAGCCGTTTCACTGCAGCTTATGCTTTGTGAACCTCTATAGTTAACAGAAAGGCAAGAGTTTCCACTCTCTGTTGTGGCACTGGCTGCTGTCACCCCAACCATTATAGGAGTCTTTCCTGGTCAAATGGCTGAGAACAAGAGTTTCACGAGCCTGATAGGATACTGAAAATGAATGCAGACTGAATGCAGAGCAAACTGGAATGTCAGAAATTTTCAGCTCCTGCTGAGGCTGAATGAGAAAAATTGAAAAGTCAACATTCACTTAACATAAGATCAGCCACAATGCTGATCACCTTCTACCACAACATTCTGTCTCTGACACTAGTCAGTATTAGCCTCTCAGGGAACAAATATAAAGCACAGGGCATGTGTAGGGTGATCTTCTCCCTATTATGCTCTTCCAGTAACTGAAAGTTGGCCACAATTACCTTCAAAACGCATTGTTTGTACATCTGCACATGCAGCCATCTCCACAATTTCATATTGTGGAATACATGGTTCCACACTTGTGTAATAAATGGTTCCTCTCACTCTCAAAACATTTTGAATGGGATTCCAAAGCAGAGGGGCTGAAAGATGAGTTGCAAGTGTCCCTGTGGACATACTTGGAAGTTACTGGCAATCATGTCTCTTCTTAGCAGTTATTCATATGTATTTTCCCATCAGTCACATCAAGAAGAGATCCCATAGGAACCAGCTTGACTCTTAACAGTGTCTGCAGCTTGTTTCTAGCTTGAAATGGTTCAGATCATTCAGAGCTGTGTTCAAAGAAATAATTTGCTTTAAGGTAAATGTGATATTACATGCTGACTCAAAGCAGCTGATCCCACCCAACTGATCTTTGACAGTGGTGTCTGTCAGATGTCCCTTCACACAGCTGTGCTCAGCATACATTCTGAATGAGCTCCAGCACATAAACACTTAAGTATTCTTTTGTGGGGATGTGAGAAAGTCTCACGTCAAACAAGTCAATCTTTAGTGTCACAAAAAAGTAATCCATATTATTCCTCTGCCATAAGCTTCCTCTGGATCACCTTGTGTTGGCTAGACTCCCCTTGAGCTAGTCAGCAGACAACTAGCTCAGGAAAAAGAAAAAGCAGGGGCAAGGAAGTCATTTAAGAACCCAGTGAGGATAAGAACTTTTACAAGGAAGCGTGGCCAAGAACAGGGAAGAGGGAGGAGCAGAAAGGAGAGGACTGAAACCTTCACTGTTCAGCAACAGCAGTCCATTACATTGATTCCAGAGGTAGTGAGAATTCTCCAGCTAAGTTTGGAATATCCAACAGTCTCAATTTGGTTAGAAAAGAATTTGCTACCTACACACTTTGGACAGGACAAGCCATCATTGAAGATAATGTAAAAACAACTGATCTGTGATTCTCAAAGGGAGTTTTTGGTGGTGCTGACAATCTGAACAATGTGATAATCTGAAATGGTGTTCAAATCCTCATTTGTCTGAAGTGATAAAATTGAATGTAGAATGGAACCCAAAATTAGCTTGTCCTCTAGAAAAAGGGCAGTGGAAAAAAAGTCATATATCTCAGCACATCTTGTAAGACGCTGCATTAAAACTCAAGACGGGAAAAAGAAGTAGAGGCAAAGAATCTGCAGAGATATTTTTACTTTTCTTATTGATTACCGTGAGCTGACATTTATGATCCATTACAATTCATCCTTGTGAAAAAAAAAAAATACTGCTAATGAGGCAGAAACCTGGATTTACAAAAGGGCTATGTTACTTCATGTTCTCTGAAGTACCCAATTCCTGTACTTAAATTCAACAGTCATTCACAGAACTCCTGCATAAACCTATAGACACCACAATATTCTTGCTGCTCAAGTCACAGGTGATAGGGTTTTTTGAAAGTTTGGGGTTAGACTTAAAACTCCAAGAGAAAGCTAGTGTTTATAAATCCAGACTAGCTGAAGATCAGCATTACATATACCGGAGATGTAAGGTTTAAAGCAACATCTATGCCCTTGGCACTTCCTAGTGATTATTATAGGTGGTCTTCCTCTCAACATTCTGCCTCATGCACAGAACTTAACTCAGGGTCATAAACTTCATTAGTAGACAAAACACCTGAAATGTAGGTATTGCAACACTGAAGACTGCAATATGCAAGTTCCTGTATGAATCTACCCCATATTAGAGGCAAATTATGACAAGTTATTTCCTTTACTAGCAGAAACTCTTCAGTTAGCACACTCTTCAGCTCTCTAGTAAAGGGAACATACCCTATACAAGTCCAACTGCCTTATCAAACTAGGTTACGGGTACCATTTGACTGACACTACACACAAGCAATGAAATTTTAGTGTATATCTTTGTCCTAAGTAATTTTAACTGATAAAAATTTATTAATTTATTCACTCACAGAGCAGTGTGTCTTGCCTCTCATTTAAGTATCTTTACAAAGTTGCAAATTAAGATATTTTGTGTCTATATCATTTTGGTCCATGAAAAGTTAAGGGGTTTTTTTTGGTGGGACTGCTACTCACATTATAAAGGTTCTGTACACTTGTAGGAGGTAGCTGAGCATTTGTGTTTGCCCATGTGATTTGTCTCCCCAGTTTCCTATTGCTGGAGATTCTGGCCTGTTGAGAAGGTGCTGCAGAACAGTTCCTGATCACAGCACCAGAATTCGCATTACCTGCAGAAGAAAAAAAAAGAGAGAAAGTAGGAAAATCATGAGGACACAGAACACACTGACAGAGGCAGGAACAGAACACAAAAACAGAATCAGCCCTTGCCACCTCACTTCATCTCACAAACGGAACAAAAGTATTCAGAATAAAATCAGAATGTAGTAGCAAACAAAACCCATTCAAAAGGGCACAGGAAAAGACAACAGCAGTAAAGAAGCAAAGAGAAAACAGAAAGGAGCAGAGCATCAAGACTGAGGCAGGAAAGAACCAAGGAGAATGTCATACACTCAAAACTCATTCAGCAGCGTTTTGTTCTTAAGTCATTTTCCTCCCACACTTTCACCCTCTCATTTTGCCCTGTAAGTTCCCTGTATTTCTTTTTCCCCGCTCAATCTCTTCTTTCTTCCCCATAATAGTGCCTCATTACATCCCAGTGTAGGAGGGTAGTACCTACTTTCAACAGCAGTGTGTGTTATGGGATTGTATATCACATTGATCGTTGATCTCTGACGTAAAGCTCTTGCTAAATCTTCGCTCTGGCTGGATACTTCTGGCTGGACACTAGCTGTAGTTCCAGCATGCACATGCAAAGTTTTTAGAAGAGGTGGTGTTGGTTCTCTCTGGCCTTTCCTGGTAGGTAAAGTCATAGAACTGGAATTTGGAAGAAGTGGCCTGGATTCAGACTGACTTAGTTGAATGTTTGCTCTCTGCACTTGTTCCTTCGGATGGTGATTTAATTTCTTTTCAAGGATCATCTACAGAAAGGAGAAGTTGGTTAGACTTAGCACAGCTACACAGCAGAACAGACAACCAAAACATAAAAACAAAGAGACTTACAAATAACTGCAATTTATTTCAAAAGATAGGTAACAAGTATAATTTTAAAACTAATTTAGGGTTGAAAAGAAGATAGAAATAATATTCTCAGTGGAAAGAAAGAATAGGCTGAAGCATTAAGAACAAGGATTGGGTGAACAGGCAATTTCAATATATCCTGAGGGAGAACACCACTAAATAAAAAGGGGTTTAGACTTGGAAAAGACAGAATCTATATGCCCAAAAGGTTAACACGATGCTGTTTCTTACAATCCCTTTCTAGAACTTTGCAAAGCTGATATTTTAATGGTCAAAGCAACATTAATTCCAGTTAGTTCATAATTATTTCTCACCTACCTCTACACACTATTATCTAGCAACAGAATTGTGACCAAGGTTTTGGGTCTTGGTGCAGACAATCTACTCTCAACTGCCTGTAATCACAGTCATCCCAAATTTGACACCCTGTTGATTATTCAAAACTATTCACTTGTTTCTTAGGCTTGTACCTAGATCATCTGTGACCAATCGATGGACATTTAGAATATCTTTTCTACCCGTGCTCAGTATTCACTTTACTAATTCATCTGTTCATGACTCCTAACACTCTATCACAGTAGAGTTTATTAGTTCTCTTCTATTAAAGACTTAAAAGAAATCTTAAAGTAGGTTCAACTTTTAGAATTCAATTAGATTTTTCTTTCTTAAATTTTAATTGCTGTTAATAGATGGAATAACACTTTTTCTCTCTCTCTAGGAAGGTGGGCACTCTTATCAGTCTTTCTCAGTCTTGGATTTTCTGATGTCTAAGCTTCCTTTTCAATCTTCTCTTCCCACTATCATACTTTCCAATGCCTTTTTTACTATATTTACATTCCAAATCCTGCTCTTCCTACCATCTTCCAGTTCCTTTGCCTCAAGCTGACCATGAGCCAGCAGCGTGCCCTTGT